TTTCAAAGCTTTGGTTTGTAGATAAAATTGTCATATAAATATATGATAAAGAATGTGAATATTTATACCCTTGCAGAGTATTATAATTTCAGTCTGAAACGTTCTATGCAGTGAAGGAGTCATTTCCGACCCTATAAAGCATATATATTCTTGATCAGGCTAAACAGGCGAATCTATCTAGGCATGAAGGAGGGAAAACTATTTTTTGACAGTTTTTTCAACATTTTTTTGGGGCTAATTACAGTTTAAACAATTTTTAAAAATTGTCAAAAAATTTAAAATTGTAAAATTTATTTTTGAGTATGCAGAATTATTAACCTATTAAAAACTAACACAGCACTGAATACCGTATCGAAATTAACGCGATTTTGGCTCAGCTATGAGTTTTCAAAGTTTTGGTTTGTAGATAAAATTGTCATATAAATATATGATAAACAATGTGAATATTTATACCCTTGCAGGGTATTATAATTTCAGTCTGAAACGTTCTATGCAGTGAAGGAGTCATTTCCGACCCTATAGAGCATATATATTCTTGATTAAGGTGAACAGGCGAATCTCTCTAGGCATGTAGGAAGGAAAACTATTTTTTGACAGTTTTTTCAAAAATTTTTTTGGGTATAATTTTAAGAAATTTTTTTTAAATTGTCAAAAAATTGAAAATATTAATATTTTAATATTATATATTTGGCTTAGATATGAGTTTTCAAAGCTTTGGTTTGTAGATAAAATTGTCATATAAATATATGATAAAGAATGTGAATATTTATACCCTTGCAGAGTATTATAATTTCAGTCTGAAACGTTCTATGCAGTGAAGGAGTCATTTCCGACCCTAAAAAGCATATATATTCTTGATCAGGCTAAACAGGCGAATCTATCTAGGCATGAAGGAGGGAAAACTATTTTTTGACAGTTTTTTCAACATTTTTTGGGGCTAATTACAGTTTAAACAATTTTTAAAAATTGTCAAAAAATTTAAAATTGTAAAATTTATTTTTGAGTATGCAGAATTATTAACCTATTAAAAACTAACACAGCACTGAATACCGTATCGAAATTAATGCGTTTTTGTCTCAGCTATGAGTTTTCAAAGCTTTAGTTTGTAGATAAAATTGGCATATAAATATATGATAAAGAATGTGAATATTTTTACCCTTGCAGGGTATTATAATATCAGTCTGAAGCGTCCTACGCAGTGAAGGAGTCATTTCCGACCCTATAAAGCATATATATTATTGATCAGGGTGAACAGGCGAATCTTTCTCGTCATGTAGGAAGGAAAACTATTTTTTGACAGTTTTTCCAACATTTTTTTGGGGCTAATTACAGTTTAAACAATTTTTAAAAATTGTCAAAAAATTTAAAATTGTAAAATGTATTTTTCAGTACGCAGAATTATTAACCTATTAAAAACTAACACAGCACTGAATACCGTATCAAAATTAATGCGTTTTTGTCTCAGCTATGAGTTTTCAAAGCTTTGGTTTGTAGATAAAATTGTCATATAAATATATGATAAAGAATGTGAATATTTATACCCTTGCAGAGTATTATAATTTCAGTCTGAAACGTTCTATGCAGTGAAGGAGTCATTTCCGACCCTATAAAGCATATATATTCTTGATCAGGCTAAACAGGCGAATCTATCTAGGCATGAAGGAGGGAAAACTATTTTTTGACAGTTTTTCAACATTTTTTGGGGCTAATTACAGTTTAAACAATTTTTAAAAATTGTCAAAAAATTTAAAATTGTAAAATTTATTTTTGAGTATGCAGAATTATTAACCTATTAAAAACTAACACAGCACTGAATACCGTATCGAAATTAACGCGATTTTGGCTCAGCTATGAGTTTTCAAAGTTTTGGTTTGTAGATAAAATTGTCATATAAATATATGATAAACAATGTGAATATTTATACCCTTGCAGGGTATTATAATTTCAGTCTGAAACGTTCTATGCAGTGAAGGAGTCATTTCCGACCCTATAGAGCATATATATTCTTGATTAAGGTGAACAGGCGAATCTCTCTAGGCATGTAGGAAGGAAAACTATTTTTTGACAGTTTTTTCAAAAATTTTTTTGGGTATAATTTTAAGCAATTTTTTTTAAATTGTTAAAAATTGAAAATATTAATATTTTAATATGAGTGCGCAGATTTATTAACCTGTTAAAATTATGACAGCACTAACTACCGTACCGTAACACTGCATTCGCCAAATGGCAGTTTCACAAAATTGGAATCGAAATTACAATTTCTGGACTGGAAAATATACTAGGCACTGACACATTTTTAGATTTTCTATAAAAAAGAAAAGTCTTTGGTTCTTTGGCGTCATTTACCTTACTTCCTTACGCAAGCATTCCAGAAAACCTACCTGATTTGAGTGTCAGGTGTGACTACGGCTGCCTTGTATGTGTGTGTGAGTATTGCAGGTATTTTGAATTGTTTATAAAAAGACATCATTAATTTAATTTTCATTAGAAAGGCAAGCACCAAATGCGTGGCCCGAACTCGAGTTATTTAGACGAAAATTACTTTCAAAATGCTTCGGTTCATACAAAGGCTTAGAGCACAGGTTCGATAGCACGGCGATTGTGTGTTGGGAATGTGTGAGGGAATTCCACGACATTCGATTTGCGGATTTTGCGTATCACTGGCTAGGTGCGATCGAGTTAACGCTGACGGCTGCATTAAATTAGACTACAAGTAGCCAAAGTCGAATTGTATTGACAAGGGCAAGTCAATTAACGTGCTCTGGCATGTGCCAGGCCAAGCACCAAATCCACAACGGAGAAACATTTCAAACCTCCCATGGCCATGTGCAATTTCAAACCAGGCAAGCGTTCTCGACAAATGTATTCTTAATTGTGCGAGGTCCTCGAAGCGCCTCACAAATTCTTAGTTTTCTAGTTTTTGTCGGAATTTGTATTTTGTCCCTTATATTAAATACAATTGAATACGTTGATGTTCGTACTAACCCTAACGAAAAGTCCGGTGATTTAATTAAGCTTTTACCGCTGTGTTCCACAACGATTATTGCAATTAACGGGACCATTAATACGTATTTTTTCTGCAGTGCAACACTCCCATTTATCAATCGAGCTGCGAGGCAAGCACAATGGATCCGCATTTCAAATCAAAGACAATAATGAAGGCCTGCATGTGTTTGCTCGTAGGCTTACCGACCAATAAGCTCTTTACAGCTGAAGTAATCGGGAAGTTTTCAAGGCCTCCAATTTAGCGGACATTTAACGGTCGGTTTAGTCGCATACTGATTCAATTTGGGGCCCAAGGTATGTATGTCCGAGCGACCCGACCACCTTCTGGCGGATTTCGTTTTAATGAAAACGTTAAACTATCAATACGAACACTGCCCGAAATAGTTCGAAACGGAAACGGGATTATTACGCTGTGATAAATTTGCACCGCCTATTTATAAAGTGAATGGCAAACACTTTTGGGTCTGTGTCCGTCTGTCCGCAAATATAAGCCAGAAACAACTAATTGTAGGACATTTGCCGCACGGCACCAGCCCTCACAAAGATTTGGTTGGTTCATTTTTATGATTAAGACATTGGCCCGCATTATAATAATTCGTTTGTGAAATTGTCCATTAAAGCTAATAACCACCTGTCAAACTGCGACAAACTCGCGGACAGGGTGACCCAACTCGTCTGGAGAGTGCTGTTGTAACAAGCAAACTCCAATTATTATGCAGCCCAGCCACGTTGCGCATACGCACGTCGTAGTTTAAGGGCCGCCCGCTTCTATATTCTACATTCATATCATTACCTTCTAGTCGAATTTACTGGGTTTTTGGGAAAGCTACTAAGCTCTAGTTTCATGAGCAAATACAAGTATTTGATTATGAAGGCCCTTCGGTGGCCTCATGGCGGCTCAACTGTGAAAATTATACAACTTCCGAAACAGCGTTAAGATCGCTTCGAAAAGAATGCGCCTCGCCCTCCACTCACTCGCAGAATAAATCGTGTGAAACACAATCCAGCAATAAATAAATTAATACAGAATTATATTAATGCTTATGGCTTGCTTAAGACATCAAGTCGGGCGGACGCCGTTCACCAGAGCGCCTTTTACTTGGATTCGAGCACTGGCTCGGGCTCAAGCTCGCCTGTGCTGGTTCGCAGCCAGAGTCTGAGCTTGGTTTGGCTGGTTTTGGTTGGTTGCTTTGGCCCAGTTCTTGTTCGCTATGTTGCCATGTTTCCAACTCGGCTTCACTTTCAATTCTCTGGCTCGAAATCTGTGCCTGTGGTGGAAAAGGCGCAGGCCTTAAGCTATGCACGTTGCACGCCAATGATTCGATTCATCAAGGACAATGCGACTGCGCAAATTGATTAACCCCAACCATGTAGAGGTCGGCTGGGGCCTGACCTGCCCCTAAACCCATGTCCCCAAAGCCACTGCACTCCCTTCCTAATTTGCTCCAGAAGCGTCAGTCCGACAGTCTGAGTGTAACAATGTTTCACAACCGCCACAATAAATAGTTGCCGAGCCAGGCGTATTACTAGTGGCCCCAGAGAGGGAAGGAGAGCAGGTTGCTGGAGCCGAAGCTGGTGCTGGTTTTGCTGGTATTCAAGAAAGCCACCCAGTATCTGGTTTGCAAATGATCGGACGGACACTGGGTTTGATTCCCAGTCAAGTACTCAAATTCATAAAGAAAATTGATCTCGGATCGCGTTCTCGCAGCAACTGGTGCAAGATAATTAGTCCAGAAAGATCAGAAGCAGCTGCCTCACACCAAAGAAGTCGTGGTTTTGTTCACGATACAATGGAACGAGCTTTGACCACTTTACTCTTACTTTCAAAAGCTTAAGAGAGTAGCGCAGCGACTTCGCCATCTCCGACACCGTTAACAGGCGCTGTACAGTAACAGACGTAGCCGAGCGTGGCTCAGACTGAACTCGGCTCGAAACTTGGCTCTGACTGCTTCAGCTGGCAAGACACTAGCTCCGCACAGTCGCGCTGTATAGTTGTTCCGATTACGACGTGTGGTTCGCTTAAGCGCACGGTAAGCAAGGCCGACCTTCGAGGCTCCCCCGGACTTTTCCCCCAAAAAATCGACTGAGCCATCGCTGGCAGTTTAATTGACATTCGAACCCATTCAATGGGCTGAAATACTAATGCACCTTTGCGTTCGATCGAATATTGCACTCGGCCAATAGAAAGCAGGCTCCAACTGCATTTTGAAGCTCAGCTCGAGCGTGTGTGTCGGTAGAGGCTCGCCTCATCGAAAAGAAAGTTTCGCTAAATATCAAGCATCAACAAACAAAAATAAAAACGTGCAAGTTTTGTTTTATTTTGCTTCACATTTTCTTCTTCGCCACGCTCCAGACTCGCTCGCACATAGCTTTCCGATCCGATTTGGTAGTGCCCGCGAATACCGTACGGGAAATCTCTCAGGTCTGATATCTGCAAATCTGAATCACAGCAGGCGTCCATCGACCAGCATCAATCTTCGGATGGTTTTGTTAATCTCTTAGTGTTTTCTTTTCCCCTGTAAAAATCTGCGAAAAACCAAAGACTGAGACGCCGAACTAAGGCTGTGAGACACTGAGAAACTGAGCAGAAGCCGAACTTGCCAAAAGGCAAAAGGCAAAACCAAGTGTTGTAATCTGTGAACGCGTGTGTGAACTATGCATCGTCGCGTTGTTTTAGCCACAAACGAAAGCTCCAATAATAGGGGCAGCGCAACTGCATTTACTTGCCACTAACAACAATACAAAACACGTCTAAGCAAAGTGCAGCCGCAGCAGCAGCAGCAGCCATAGCAGTCGCGGCAGGCAGAAAAAAACCCACAGCCAAGAAAATTGTAACACAAGGCTCGTAAAAAAATCTAAATTGAAAGATTGCGACACTGCCTTCTTAGTTATTTGGCAATTGTATGCAACAAAGCAGAGCTTTTCTCAACAGCAACTGCCGCTGCTGGTGCTGCTGCCAGTGCTTGTGGTGAAGCTGCCCCCGCTCAGCCCCGAGCTGAGTTTGGTGGTATTTTGGGTTCTGTGAACTAGCCTCAAAACGTAACAGCACCAACCACATCAAGAAAATTTACAGTTACAGTTACAACGCCGCGCAATACCTGAAACATGGAGTACTCAACATGTCGTCTAAGCATTCTGTGGCTGCTGGGATTATGTCTATTGCTGTTCAAAACAGGTGAGTACTACACACGCTCGGATCAGGGGGCACCCTTCACAAATAGGACTGTCATGGAACATGACGGGGGTCGTCTGCAGGACAAATAGCTGACTCACCTTGTCAGTAGGCCCAGCCCCCAGGAAGATTCTAATAGCAGTCAAGTTATAGACCTCACACCTCGCAACTTGCAACTGGCAACTGGAACCGGAGAGCAAGCACTTCAGGGATCCGGCCTTTATTTAAATTAAAATCACTGAAGGAGCTCTGCGAATGGCCAAACGACTGGTTACTGGACTTTAGCTGCCAAGTCAACGAACTTGCACGGCCAAAAGGACGTTGTCCAACTGCAGTATGTTTCTGCAAGCCGATGCTTTAGTTTTTCTCATTAGGTATTTACTTTAAGCCTGATAATTAGTAGAGACAAGGTTTCCGTTGTTTTAACACACCTTTCTAAGTGAAAAGGGAAATCGAACTATCCGAACCAAAATCTAGACAATATTACCTCATTTGATACAAGCGCATGAAAGTAAGAGTTCGGGAGAATAGACCCAGTCCAACAAATATTGAATCGAATATTTTAGATATATGATTAACGCCTAGTGTGCTTGGCAGATGAGGCGAAACCTCAAATGTATATTCTGTACTTTGTCATGGAAATATCGTGTTCAGTCGAAGAATTGAGCGGACAAACTTGTTTCGGCCTCCAATCTCTGTCTTAGCCGAGACGAACTCACAAAAAGTCTTCCGATCCGATGTCAAATTCAATAATCTTCGTAAAAGAAGTCAAACCACCAGCTGCCAACACTTGCTCCGGGCACAAGCACGGCTGCTACAAAATTGTGTTTTATTGGCCGAGATATACTAGTATTCGAGTATCCTACTCGCGACTCACGACCAAAATTTATATATTTATATTACGCGATTAATCGCTTGTCAATGGAACGCGGTGAGTCGTAAACAGACAGAGAGTGTATTTACATAAGGGGTTAGCGATAGATGGATTGCTAGCTAATTAAGTATATGTGTACATATACATGGCTCTGATCACCTGCTCTATTTACCAGCGAAACAATAACATAATCGAGCAGTACAACCCGAACCGTGTCAAGCATTGGTCAGCCCGGGTTGTCCACTCAACGAACTGCTGGGTAATGGTAATGGAATTATGTAAGGTATGCCAATCAGCCAGCAGCCCCGGCCAGCAGTCAGCCAACCAGCTTATGGCACAGATATTAATTGCACACAACACACTGGTTCGAATGGCATGAATGGGTTGAATAAGTGTTTGCCTAAGTGAGTGAGTGTGTCGGTGTAAGCGAGCAAATTGTGGTTATAATAACTGTTAATAATCTGCAAACAGTTCACTTAATTATCTGTCGTCCACATTTAAATGTGTGCATAAATTTGGCCAAAACCTAAGCCAAACCAAACCACGGGAAGCTGAGACGATGGAAAATCCAAAATTGATTTCGATTACGTATTAATAGTAAGCGGGCAAAGCAAAGTGCAAAGATGACGAAGGGAAGAACTTGCCACAGGGCAGCGGCATAATATTATGGAAAAGGAAAAAGGAGAAAGTGATCGCCTAATTTTAACATACGTTATATTAATAATAATTACGTGCACGTACTTAATTTTAAAACCATGTGTACATGTCCAATTCACTTTCGCTTCAATTTTCAGTTTTAATTTCTAGAGTTACAATATCATGACCATACTACCCCATACTACCCGATACTAATAGTTAAAAGGTTTATTTGGCATTCAACAAAATCAACAAACCGTTTTAACTCGTAACAAAGAATGGAAATAGTAAGTTGCAGTTTGCAAATGATTTATAGGATCGAATTGGGAGTCGATCAAAACTAAGCTTAAAATATTCGTATTCTTTAAATCGATAATTATTGATTTTTTTATGACATATTTTTCGACAAATCAAAGTTAATAAAACTCAAACCTAAGTCAAAAAATTATTGAATTCTTAAAGCCTATGCCCCAGGCAGGCTTTATAGGTACTTAAATATATTGCAATTAAAGATAACATTCTTTACCAGTAACTTCTTTAATGTGTTTTCTTTACACTTCTTAGTGAGCTTGTAGTCTCTCGAGAATGCAACACAACTTTAAAAACCACAAAAATTAAATCAAATTAGTGTGCATATGAACTGTATATCAATTGACATTAGATATTGAATTAGGAGAATGTAGTCAGGCAATTATACTAGCATTTATCACCGAGGAATTATGCGACACGAAAGTGAAATACACTCCAATGATGACACAATAAAACAGAAACAAATGCTTGTCCAGCAAAACATTATAAAGTAAATAAAAAGCCAAAGAAATCCGTAAATGGACTGTTGATGGACTGAGGCCATGGTAGGAACCGTCACAACTTTCCATTTCGTTGAACTATAATAAAAACCTCGGTGTCATTCCTGCGAGTTAACGAAAGGTCTCGTTTCGCCTCGTCCGGTCTTGTCTCGGCGTTGTAGGAAGCCCTCTGACATGCCCCTTTCTCATCTTCCCATGGCGCCGAATGAAAATATTAACATGCGTTATTGCTGGAAAATGTTGAGCAAAAGTGTTAGGGCTTTGAAAGTGTGACTGGTTTGCATGGGAAAGTCGGTGTTAGCCGATAGAAAAAGGTGGCGAAAGTGGCCGCAAGAACTACGAGTTACATCAGTGCTTGCACCACTTTTGGCCCATAGCTTTTCGGTTATAAACTCGTCGAAGTGTCAATGCCAATTCAGCTATTACCACAATATGGCCCGCACACCCGAATCGTTGTGTTGCTTAGCAGGCACAGCGGAGTCAATGCTTGCCGTGCGAACGCGGAAGATCGTCATTAAGTTACTCGGCAATGTTGGGTCTCCGGGTGTAATCCGAACGCTTTATATTTTATACGGGGCGCATGCTCTCCGTGCACTCGCACTGGAACTTCCATGGCGCAACTTCGCTTTGCATGCAGCCATACAACCACAGCCATAGTCTCAGCCACAGCAGTGCACTTTCGCTTTCGTATTCATACTTATTTAAGCTCGTACTCGTACTGGTACTCGTACTCGACTCAGTCTGAGGCAAGCTTGAATAAATTTGCACATTGGGTTTCGAAAGGCTCCAGTTAATTTGTGTTGAATTGGAAGTTGAAATATGTTGTCGGCGCTGTGCGAAGAGTACCAATATTGTGTTGGACCCTCGAATAGTAAACAGCAAACACCCAACTTCTCCTTAGTTTAACGATTGCCCTCACCAGCTCTGCTGCTGCCTTAATGCTGCTTCTGGTCTTAATGGTGCTACTCACCTTGAAATGCACATGTTACCGTATTATATACGTTAGCTGCAAATTATTTTCGCTGCGCAACGAGCAATCTATTAAGGCATTGCCACAGCAACAACCCGTCAACATTCATAACCGATGTGAATAGCGCTCCAGACGTATCCATGCTGCTGCTCCACTTAACACTCTCACACCTGCCCTGCTGCCACGGCCAGCCAGCACAGCTTAACTCTCTTTCTTTCACCACCTCCCGTCTGACAGTTGAATGCGTGAGGATTGCGCAGACTTTTAATTTTTACGATTATTTTATGCGTGTTTCACACTTGCGGCAGCACGTTGCATTCAACGAACCGTCACCCAAGCAGCCGCTGCGCGTATGTTAGCATTTATTTAGGCAGGCGGGGATTCTGTACGCTGTACGTGATACAGTCGTCCGACTTATTTACTAGAGAGCATATTTTAAAAACTATCTAAAGTTTTATTTGGATACCTCTCAAACTGAGAGACTAGTTTGCGTATCGGGAAATGCACTTCAGGGTCTAGCTCGCAGAGACGACTTATTAATTAACATCCCAAACCAAGAATGAAAGTGAAACAAGGTTTGTGGCTAAAAGCTTTCTGCGTTCCCGTTTGCGGCTTCTTTCATTGTCTCCTTTTTGTGAATAAACTGGATTTGCAGATGCTCGATGCAACGACCTTGACGCGATTGCGGCTGATGTTTTCCGCAGACCGTTGCTTTTCGAGTTCATGTCGGAATACGTGCCCCAGGCCTTCAAGGACAAGGCGATGCTGCAGCGCAACTGCTCTTCCTCATCGTTCCTCGTTTTTCATTTACCAAAAAGCATATTTCGAAGCGACCACCTTTCACTTTCACCTTCAACGGCCGCGCTCCACAGTGCGTATTAGAGGTGCCCGTTTAAGTGAGTGATTACGGACACAGTGACAATGTGTTGGCCAGGCTGGCGAGAAAGTGTGTGAGCTTATCGATAAGTGGAGCCCCAGCGATTGCATAACGCACTCATCTGCGTCGTTAGGAGCTTCATTAAGTGCCTGGTGTCAAATGTAATGAATTTCAGGACACCGCAGATTACTCATGGCACTCTGAGCTCTTGGCTCCGAGCTTTTAACATGTAGAGCCGAGTTGAGCTCCATTAATAACTGAACGAGATCTGGCGGAGGCGGCGGCGACTGCAAGTAGATCTGATTTTCTCAGCTGGGGTTGATTCGCCGCGTAGATGATATCTCTTTTAATGCTGCTTTTAAAGTGCAATTCGTTGGCTCATTGCTAATACCTGCTTTCATCGGGATCCTGATTTCGGCTTTCGATTTTTTCAATGTCACCTGCAGGCCGGGCGGAAAGCCAACCAGCCAACAGGTTTCCCTTGCAGTGGATAGTTTGATGACATTTTTCCTAGTGAAGTTAGTTTTTTGATTGTACAGTCTTGTAAAATTAAATCACAGTCTTTGCTTTTCTTCGTTTTGTGGCAGGCCGCCACCCCGGCGGCTATTGACTGCAAAGCTCGGCTCCAAAAAGCTTTGGCAAAGTGGTCTCGCTTGGTCCAAAAGGAGACACACTGCCATAAAGTCATCGAACCGCCTCCAGCTGAGCTGAAGCTGCGAATAACCCGATCTGCATATGTATTTTTGAGCATGGAAACGGAAAGCTAGTCAACTGCAGCAGCATTGAGATGCTATAACTTATAAATGATATGCCGGTTTCAGAGTTATTGATTTTACT